TTCACAAATATTCTGTAGATCTGTTCTATCACTCGCCATAGATTTGGAATAAACTGGTACTTCATTACTATTTGTTTCTATACCTTTTATTGATTCATTCCTTTTTAAATTCCCATAATATTTTCTGAACCTATCAAGGGATCCCAGTTTTGAATGGCAACTTAATTTTGTTGAATCACAATATTGAACTCTAACAGGAACATCATTTATTTGCCTATTGCTGTTTATATCACCTAAATGATTAACTGAATCTGCAGGCACTACAGGCATATATCCTTTTGCATGTGGTATTACAGAATGCACAGTACTATCTGCAGGAAGTGAGACTGATGTACTCTTTTTCTCTAGCCATTCCTTTGTATTTCCTGTGTGTATGATATTGGTTTTCATCATATATTCTAGAGAACTCGGAATCTGCTCTGAAAATTCTAGCTGTTTTTCAAACATATCCTTGGCACTTACTGGACCCAGTTTAGTCTGTCTGTTTAATAAACTACTAGATTCTGTTGTTCTATATGATGGCGGATTTTGAGGTAAATATGCTGTAATGTTTTCAGAAGCCAGTTTCAAAGGATCAGGTTCTACCATCAGTCCTCTAGCAATATTTAACTTGGTAAAGGATTCTCTGCCCTTTTCTTCCGACTTGCATTTTTCCATCATACTATGTCCAAAAATATATTTACTTTTAAATTCATCAATATGTTTTTCAATTTCAGTACATCCCACAGTGTCTGAATCAAGGCTCCTTTCCTGGATTCCTGCATCTTGTTGACTATTAGTATCTTTTCCATGGTCCTCAGTACAAAGCAAAGTATCAGAATGATGGTCTGTTTCCGAAATTTTGTCTTGGGTGCCAAGTTCTGCTGGGCATTTGGATCTCATAACATCAATGTGTAGTTCTGACTCTTTAGGGACTTTATTGAATTTTAGAAAATCAGAAATATTATTATTTTTATTGGGCAGAAAATCTTTACTACTTCTCAATTCATGAACAGATTCAAAACCAGTTACATTTGTGTAAACACCTACTTCTTTCACATTATTAATAGGTTGTATATTATCTGGTATCTTCTTTGTCACTTTCCTTCTGACAGATTTTGATTGCAAATTAAATGTTTCATAAGACTCCACAATATTATCACAAGCTGACTTAAAACTCTCCTGCATATCCTTCTCTTTGGGGAGAGAAGACTGTAAAGCTATGTTATCCAAACAAAAATCATTATTTTCATTAAAGTCTGTAGTAGCTTCACTACACAACTCAATAAATAGATGTTCTTGCTTTAAAAATGCCTTCACTCCTTCTTCAATGCAGGTTAGGAGAGCATCCCATCTGCGAAATTCTATTAAAGTTTTTGCAGGTTCCAAACATATATCATATTCATCATGCTGACATTTCACATTGATAATAAAAACGCCATGGAGTTCTGAGCCAGAACGATAGCGGACAGGACTTGAGAGCAAAGACCCAGTTTTTGTTTTACATATAACACTCTGTTTCCTCAATAGAAAATCAATAAGCTTATGCAATTTTGTTTTTAATATCAATCTATTATTTATATATAAAAATTGAATATTCTTATTGTAATGTCCTTCCGAACTGATAAAGCCCATTATTTCAAATCCTCCAGACCTATAGTTTATTTCTAGTAATTTCTGAGATTTACCTAGACCATAAATCTGAGAAAAACGTGTGCACATATTTTTTGTTTTGGGTAGCTGAAGCACCATTGAACAGGAAGCTTCATTCCGTAAAGAAAAAGAGACAGATGGATGAACAAGTGAAAGAGCCTCTACTTTATGCCTCACTCTCTCAAATTCCAGTGTGAAATCCATGCACTTTCTCCTCACAGGTAGCTGATGGTACAAATTGTATACAGTCACTGTTGTTCCAAGACTTGGCCTACTCAGTTCTGCTTCTGAGACTTCAAGACCTTTTCCGTTGTGAAACAGTTTCAAGAAGGTTTTTGCTATCCTACTTGTCCTGGATGATATTTCCAATATACTGGCCATACTTGCAATACTTGCCAAAGCCTCTCCACGGAAGCCATAAAACTTCAGATTTTCTAAGTCTTCCAATGAATAACATTTACTAGTAAAGTATCTATTGCCTACTTTGTTGAGGTCTTCTCTTTCCATCCCACAGCCATTGTCCACCACCTGGACCTTAAAGGTTTCCAAATCCACTCTAACAGCAATACATGTAGCTTTTGCATCTATGCTATTAAGGATAAGCTCCTCAACACAATGTCCGACTGAATTAATGGCCACTCCAGAGCGCAAACTGGTTTGTATTTCTTCAGGCAAGCATTTGATCATTGTAAGAGAAAAGACTGTTGAAATCTTGGTCTATTAGTTATGCATTGCCACGTGCCTTTTCTGTAAATATCCTGTTAAAAAAACAGAGAATCCAATGATCTTTTAATTTTTTAGCCAGATATTTCACAAATCCCTTAATATTTTCCAGAGTGTTTCCAATACTCATTTTGTATTTTAATTAACAAAATACCGTTCAATTTAGAAAAAAAAATCTTTCGCTTAAGTTCAACCTAGATATGTTTAGTTAGACTGTTTTAATTAAAATTGCATGCAGGAACTATTAGCAGGGATGTTAACATTGCTCTCCCTGTGCTCTTCCCCCTAAAATGGGATTTTTCAGTCAACTCCTAATTTTCTGTTCCCATTAATAACTGATCAGCTGAGTAGTGGAGAAACTGGACAATTTATTTCTAAACTGTAACATGGAAAATATTAGGAAACAATGACTATTGTGAGCCAACTTGCTATTCTTTGATTAATGCAATTGTAATTTTGCTGTGATAACGAATTATATTTACAAGTCAGTTGGTACAATAGTTAACCTCTTACATTCATTAACACCATTCATTTTTGGCTTCTACTTGTATTGACTGTCACACACTGAGCTAAGCTCTCTCACAGGACTGCTGTGAAGATAAAAAAGGTGCTAAGTCCCTTCCACATATCCTAATAGGTTGAAAGCTTGGACGAGTTGAAAGCAAAATGTAAAACAGGTAAAAGGTCTTTACAATGTACATTTTCGAAAATGCTGCACTTCTGAGACTATTTTAGCAATAGACAATAATGAAATCGGAAGAAGTCCCACCTTTCTGCCAGGTTTAAGGAGGAACTTTTGGCTTCAAGATGATTGATGACATGAGAGAAAGAGGGAGGAGGGAAGCGCCTCCCCCATCAAGCAGTTAATGGAGATCTGCCGTTAGTTCCGTTTTCTGCCCACCGCCTCTCTGCTGAAGTAATTTCAGGCTCTGCCTCCTTTCTTTCGTCACAGGTGTAGCCAAAGCTGCCCCGTTTTTCTTCCGTGTTTTTTTCCCCTCTGGACAAAATCTCCTTAGTGGGACCCGACTCAACTCTCATCTTTGACCGAGCCCGCCTCTTAGCTTTATTGTCGATCATCTGAAAGCAGATCCGTGCTGAGGAAGAAACTGGGCCTTCTCAAATGCCTCATGTGAGAACTTCAGTTCCCAGCGTACACCAAAGTATTACAATGCATTCTGGGAGTTGTGGTATTTTTGTGATCTTTATTTAAAAGACGGATCGAACTTTTCTGTTACCTCCTCCAAATCACTGTATAATATAAACCTGAACTTGCTTCTGATCCGCTCTAGATCTGCTATAATCAACTATTCCTGAAGAATCTTTCCGCAATTAAACAGCTGCAGAATAAAAAATCTTGAGCAAGGGGACAAGTAGCACCGAAAAAGTGTTTAAATATAGGTGGATACATATTTTCGGCTTAAACGAAAGTTTGAGCTATAATCGTGCACATCGTAAATGTGCAATTAGATGGTCCTCGAAACACTATAACTTTTAATGAATTTTTACAATTTTGATACACAACACTCTTTCAAAGTTGTCTTTCAAGAGCTTAAATATAAATAATTACACTTAGGGAGGAGAAATAAAAATTATATATTCAAAAATATATGACAATCACATAAAATGAGTGCCAAAAAGGCACCAATTTTTCTTAAAATGGTTCTCAACTTTTTTCACATATTTTTTATCAACAAAGATAAAATACAGAAAAACACCTTGTAGGAATACAGTATTTCAGGTTGCCAAGGAGCTAAAAGGAATATTGTTGCTGAAACATGATATAAGCAGCAGCTGGAGAAGTGAGAAATACATTTAAGGCTGCAGCTCTGCAGCTCTGACTTATGAACTCTAATTATATTCCAAGGCATATGTGCAATGAGAGACAATATTTGAATATTAATTGGGAATGATGTTAATTTGTTAAATAAAACTGAGGGTTGTACTACATTTAGGTATTTATCTCATGCTTAGATTAAATATCCAGCAATGCAAATTAAATACTTTTGCTTGTCTGTAAAGATTCTCAGTCATCCAGGTCATGAGTGTCCCAAAGGTGCTTTTTCAGGAGGCAACTGGCCTTTTTTTTTTCTTTTGAAGACATTTTGCTTCTCATCCAAGAAGCTTCTTCAGCTCTGACAGGATACTGCGGAATGGAAGGATTTCCCCACTATCCTGTCAGAGCTGAAGAAGCTTCTTGGATGAGAAATGATCCAAAAGAAAAAACAAAACAGTCCAGGTGCCTCCTGAAAAAGCACCTTTGGGACAATAATTTTGCTTGTGTTTTGGTGAAGTACCAGTTAAAAAGAATGTCTTTAATTGGTCCATAGGAGTTGTATGAATTCTATAGCTCTGACAACCCCTCCCCCAATATGGCTATTACGGTATGTTCCAATTTGTTTATCTTCATAGTTATAGCATGGTTTGTAACTAGATTATACTGAAATGCAGAACAATAAAATTATTTTTATACTTTGCATAGCATATTTTAAGTCATGATCAGAAAAAATCATTTACACTTATTTAAAAGAGTTTCTTTTCTTAGTGTGTATTTACCCCCCATATCAAGTTATTTTATAATTTATGAAAGTTCAAAAACTCTAAAACAAAAAGCTAGTAAGTTTGCAATGGAATTCTGTAATTTTATATTCTATATACTTGCAATCTTTTAATATGTATATTTCAGTTTTATACATAGCTCTGGATATGATGCAGCAAGTGTGTATTAACAGTCAAAATATTGGGACATCACTCAATTCAGGAAATGTTTATCTTAAAATATTTAATAGAAGCTTTATATAATAAATAATTACAACAGAAAGAATGCATTTAACCAATTACAAGAAAATAAAAACTAAATGAATGACTGTCTTCTAGACAAGTCCATGGTCCAACCATGTTTTCTATTCCTAAGCCTCTTATTTGATTATACAAAAGTCACTATGCTCTAAATGAACAATTTTCTTTTCATTGTGGAATTCAGCTCTGTCGATGTGAGATTTAGGACTTCCAGTTTTCTGAAGCCATTCCTGAAGTTGTCGGACTTTGATAAGAGGGCCTTGGATTTGTCCTTGCACGGTGCCATAATTAGTATTTTGGACCCAGCCAACTAGACCCAACTTTTTTCCTTGTGCCTAAAAATAACAATACACATGCAGATATTTAAAAAATCATACATACACAATATGATTAATCTGAATTATATAAAAACCTTTAGAATTTCTCTCTAGAGAATTATTATAACCCCACTAAATTACTATATAATCCAAACTTCTGCTATGCCATTCAAAGATAAACCAAGACTAATTGGAAATGTATTATTTGATGTTAAAAAGAGCTGATATAAATGACAATGGCATCTTACAATAATAAAAGTATATACAGCTTGCATGTGTCTATTCTTCTGATTTCAATAATATGTCTTAATTCAAGTTAAGGCTACAAGTAACTTATAACCATTCATTTAGCAATGTTGCAATTTAGAATGACATTGAAAAACGTGATTTATGACTAGTCCTTGCAATGATGATCATTGCACAATCACCATAGCCATGATCACAGTTTGTGTGCTTGGCACCTGCATGTATTTGATGATTGCAGAATCCTGGGATCATATGACCACCATTTATGATTTTCCCTGCCAGCTTCTGACAACCAAAGTCAATAAAAGCCAGATTCAGTTAACAAGCACATGATTCATTTAACCACTGCAATGATTCACTTAATAACATCGGTTAAAAAAAAGGTTTTAAAATTGGGGTACAACCCATTTAACAACCACTTTGCTTAGTAGCAGACATGTTAGTCCCAATTGTTTTATTTATTTTTATTTTATTTTGTCAATCACTTACAAGATAATAGGTATAAGTATAAACATGAGTAAGAAATAGGTACAAATAAATGGGGACAATAGGACAGGGATGGGAGGCACATTATTATTGTAGTCATAAGTAAAGGACTATCTGTATCCAGGTGCCTAAGCAAAACCTCCAAAGTTCTCACAATTGTATTTATATGCCACCCATTTCACTGTCAAGCGACTCTTGGCTTAAAACATTAAAATACAATATAAAATGAAAAGCACATTCAGCATTAAATTTTTTTAAAAAATGACAATTACATAAAAATAGACCAATACATAAACCAGATGGAAGTAGAACCTTCTAATTTACTAACCACTTCCAGAAAGTTCACCAGTTGCAGAAGAGAACCAAGTGCAGAAGAGAAATGAGGGAAAAGTGACAAAAAATTGCCAGTACTGTACAATCTATTGCCTCAGGGAAATTGCAGATCGAGTCCACTCACCTGGGTATGTTTCCGGAAAAATACCCCTTGCACCTTCCCAAAGACCTCATAGTCCACCGAAATGAGGCCGCTTCCCTCAGCCATGGTCGGGGGTCCCTGTGCAGAAAGCAAAACAGCAATCAGGCAGAAAAAGAGAGGCAGGTGCCATACCCGCCGGGAGATCGTCCCTCGAGCAGCCTCCAAAGGCTCTTGCATTGTCGAAGCGATCCGCTCCCCGGGTGCCTACGCAGGATAAACTAAGTTAACCTGGCTCTCGCTTCCCTCCCCTACCTCCCGGGCAGGGGAAGTTGGAGGGCAAAGCGCACGGCATCGCTCCGACAGGCCCCTCCCTTATTTCCATCCCGTTGGGTACACAAGACAGAAGAGCCAGAGATCTGCCGGGTCAGGTTTCGCCCGGGCAGCCCGAAAGTTTATCTGCCAACTTCGCAGATGGCTGTCAAGAGAGACCCACCCACTAGAACGGAGCGGGCGCGAGGGACGCACCAACGGCCACTAACGACGAGCACGCTTCGTGGAGACCGGCTTCGGCACGTCGGAACCGCAGTGGAATTAATTAAACGATTTAAAGTCGAGCGGCGCTGCTTTGTAGGGCTAAACGGCGGGCACTTTGGCCTATAACTAACATCACATAATTAAAGAGAAGCCGGTATGCTTCCTAAGGATTCTCACCCACCGGAAACCGCTGAGATGGAATCGGATATAGCGCGGGGAGGGGGGGGGCGCTGTGGTTGCTACGCAACGGCGCTAAACCGCCACCCGAAGGTCTGGTGGCGCCGTTCCGAGAAAACAGGCAGGCAGACGCGGCGTCGCGTGCGCGGCGGTTGTGTGTCTGGAGCCGGCGGGCAGGCTATTTTGGTAGGTGCGTGAATTCAACTTGGAGCAGCCACAGTGCCTCCGTCTGTACCCTCTTCCCTGAGTTTTGTCAAATTTCGAACCGGCAGTTCGAGTCCCATTATAGTGTAAAATCATTAACGGAGACGAGCGGTAGTTTAATGCTGTGTAAAATTGTAGCAGCCACCTTTAAGGCGGGGTTAAAAAAGGCATTCCCTTCAGCCCTCTTAACTATAGAAGTGAATCCTAACAGCAAAAGCATTCACAAGCAGTAACAATCCTTGCCTTATCCCGGCTGATATTGGAAAGCTAAGCGGACTCGGATTTGTATAGGGGAGACAACCAGAAATCCCCAGAAAGTTAAAAAAAAAAAAAACTAGAGAAAAGGTCCCAAAGGTGCTTTTTTCAAAAAGCAACTGGACTTTCTAGTTTTTCTTTGAAGAACCTAGAGAAAAGGAATGGCAAACCATTTGAAATTGTTGCCAAGAAATATGGAAGAGCTGGAATTCAACTGGAAGGGTATTTTACCTAGAGAGATAGGCATTAGGAAGGAAAAGGGGCTAGAGTTTTAGAGTTATGAAAAGGTCATCTAAGTATGATTAAGCTGTCTTCAGGTTCCAGCTGTAATCACACAAAGATAAGTTATTTCTACTCTACAAGCTAGTAAATAGTTTGATTGCCTTGACTTGTTTAGATTGGCCATAAAAATACAGTACAGTAATGAATTTATAGGACAGCTGCTGAAACCAAGTACTGTATATGGCTACTGTATATATCTACAGATTTCCACTAGCTTTAGGATGAGTACATTTTAATATATACAACATATTTATTATAGAAGTAAGGAAATGCTATGATGGAGGATGAAAAAGAGATAAATAAACAAACTCATGCTCCTTCCATTCTCTTTCTGTCTTTCTTGTCTTAAAGCAGTTTCTCTGTTGTATTTATTGACCTTCTTGATTTATAACTTTTCTAAGTTGGGAAAATGGGAAACAATTCCTAATGAGTACATTTTATAGACTGTGTACAAGTGTTCCAAATATATCTCGAGAAGAACCTCTTTTGCAGATATTGATCTGTTAGGACTTTGAAAACTTAATGATCAACATGTACCAATTTAGATCACATCAGTAAACATCCGAAAGCCAATGAAGATTTTTCAGTATACATATTGTTATTCCTTGAATTTTGCATTGATTACTTGTCTGGCTGCCTCCTTTTACACCAACTGCAATTTCTGGATATTTTTCAAGGTTAGGTCCACTTAACACATTGCAGTAACCAAAAACCAAGATGGGATATACTGTAGTGAAGGTATGGACAATTGTTAACTTATTAGAAAGAATTGCATCTATCTGTGCAAATATAATCCTTACAATCTTAAATCCAATGAGAGCCAATTAAACAGCACTCTCAGACTGCAAACCTATTATTTAACTTCATGTGGAACCCCATCAAAACAGGCTAAACTCAGTTCACAAATCAAGACCCATTCTTATCAGACAATCTAGAAAGATACCTTTGTTTAGGATGCACAACTATTGAAATCTAGTCAGTCTTCATACACATTTATTTTTTAAGTTTGGTTTACCAAAGTAATGTTTGCATCACATCCCTGCCAAATGAACTGAAATGAGTTTGTTTTGGTCTATAATCACATAAGAATCCATAATCAATGGACTTTTTTGTAACAGAGGCAACAAATAATATCCCATCTGCAAAGAAACATTACTCACTACCTTAAATATGAGATCAGTTGTGGTTGATTTAATAAACCAGGTGAGGCAAGGATCAAATAATCAGGTGTTAAGCCTATTTCTGTACAACCTGTTCAACATTCTAGAGATTGAAAATACAAAATCAGAGAAAAAATTATGAAGAAAGGATTATAGTCTTACAATATACCAGTATTCCAAGTTGAGATAGATCTGATTATACAAAAAATTATGTGAAGTCTTCTATTCTCTACTGCAAAATCTTGGCAAAGAAGGTGCTGCAGAGTACAGAATATAAATGTTGACTAATTATTTGGAAATAAATGCAGTGAAGGCAAATGGAGATGTTGGTAAAAACGTATGGTAAAAATGTCATAATGCAACCATAATAGTATTAAATCAGTTCATTTTTATAAGCATTGTACACATTCCATACTTAAGAAACAGATGGAGCTTCATTCACACCATTGTGGCCACCATATTGATTTTTTATACCCACAGAGACAGGAAAGTGAGCAACTTCGTTTCTTTCAGTGTCGTACAGGTGACCTTATAAAGAACCTTAGTCTGATCTCAGTGTAAGATACTTGTTTTCCAGTTCTCATTTCTCCTATGCACTTCATTTTTCTCAGTAGCCCTAAGGGTCATTTTCATAGTAGCCCTAAGGGTCATTTGTCTACTCAAAGGTTGTCATCCTAACCACTAAACTTATTTCCATATTCTGCAAGTTATCCAGTCTATCAGCATTATAGCTGACAGATAAAGCAGAAAATTCCTCCAAATACACTCAGGAAACCATTGGACTATAATCCTCAGTCATTTTAACTGGTCCTCCTTCCTGCAGGTTTATACTAACCATCAATTTGAAATTGACTATGTAATGATTTCTGTGGCTTACATAACAGAAAGACTTCCCATTTTCAGATCAAGAGCCATGGTGGTGCAGTGATTAGAATGCAGTATTGCAGGCTAATTCTGCTGACTGCCAGGGGTTTAGTCCTCACCCACTCAAGGTTGACTCAGCCTTCTATCCTTCTGAGGTCAGTAAAGTGAGGACCCAGATTGTTGGGGGCTATATGCTGATTCCATAAAACTTTTTAGAGAGGGCTGTAAAGCACTGAGAGATCTTATATAAGTGCTGTTACTATTAGCAGTCATTCAGAATAATATTACCAAATCCTGAGTTTGACCTTTTATGCATGCAGGTCAGATGTAAATTGGAAAAGACCCAAAGTAATCAAGGGAGTTATTAAATCTTGAGGTGCTTTTGATTGAGCAGTTTCAGCGTGGACATTGAACTCCCATGAATATGGAGATAAGGATATTCTAAGATTGCACTTAGGTCATCCCCAGAAAGAGAAGCAGCAGGGAAGATGGTACACTAATAGTATTATCTTCACATTGTCCCAGCCACATAGGTGCAGCATCATGAATTCAGCACTGGTAGATGTCTCTGGAGATTTTCAGTCATCTAGGTCATAGTTGTCCCAAAGGCATTTTTTCAAAAGGCAACTGTGTTTTCTTTGTTTTCCCTTCAGGGAAAAACAAAAAAGTCCAGTTGCCATTTGAAAAAGTACCTTTGGATCAGCAGTGATAGAGTAATGATATACACGGGGTAGCAGAAGGAATTCATATAGACCAAGTCCAATGCACCTCACCACTGACTAATCTAATTTGCAGTATCATGGTGTAGCCAGCTGGACAGTGCTAGGAGATGTGAGTGCATCCTTTTCCTCTGAACTATGTTTTATGATACCCATGCAAACACTTTCATCAAGATTAAATCCTGCGTAATAAATCTGGCATGTAATAGCAAGACCTTTAGGTTGTGCGTGGTACTTTTCCCCCTACAAATGTAGTTGCATTTGGGGCAAACTAATAACTATACGGAATAAGATAAGTATGGATGTGGCAGTTTTTCTGGTATCCACAGTCAGATATTGTAAATTATATCAGAAGCAATGCAGTACTGCAAAAATAGATCATTTTATTTGCACACTTCTTTTTATTGATCATGGGTGAAATCCCACACTGATTTTGTTGAAGGACAACATTAAGTTACTTGCAATCAGAGCATATTTTCTCAATAAAGGAATAGAATTATTGAATGAGAGCAGGAATTATAGCATGTATATAATTTGTTGCGTTTCTTCAGATTTAGTGGAAATGCTGAATGGCTCAGTTGCAGCTGGCTGTGTGTTCGCATATGGATCCAATAGCATCCAATTCCAGTCTTCCTGCAACAAGCCAGGAAAGACATCATCCTGAAGTTCTTAAAGAACAGTCCCAGCTAGAACATTTGAGGAATAATATCCAGCAACAACTTGTGTGCTGTAAAGAGAAGAAATTGAAAGATCTTCATGTTCACAAAGAGCGGAGCTCTTCCTGTACTCGGCCTGCAGAAAATAGTCAGTTGGGCTTAGAGAAGGCAAGTTTTTATTCTGCTGGCCCACATAACTGGTGTTTCAAGGGTCAGGCCAGCACTGTGCCTTCCCACTGGAGAATGAAGCGGAGAGAAGGTGTTGACAGAGCATATCCACTTAAGCCGGTTTTTCACCCAAAATCTGAGAATGGTTCCTTACCAAGTTCTTGGCAAGTTGGAAATGCACCAGCAACAGAGATTCCTTCCTGTGGGATTAGCTCAGAGAAAACAAAAGTGTCACATGCGGTAAAGGCTCAGCCTATAGGGGTGCACTCTCCTTTTTCTGTACAACAATCTAATAGAACAACTTCTCATTCACAAAGAGCAGAGTCAGGCTATATTCAAAAACTGGAGGCTGCTGGACGAAGTTTGGAGGAGGAAATCCAGCGAAAGGAGACTCTCCTTAGGGAGAAACTAAGGAAAACAGAAGAAGAGCTCCGTAAAATCCAGTGGAAAAGACAGCAAACTAAAGCAGAAGCAAGAAGAGACCAAGGAGGATTATGGATGCCAGAGAAAAAAATGACAGCTATTTCTCAAGATTGTAATTCCAAATCTATTGCACAATGTGATGATGATGATGATAAAAAAATGCTTGTTCCAGAGACTGTGATAACTTCAATTGGGACTGTCCTGCTTCCACAGACACTTCATATGGAAAGGCTCAAAAAGCAACGATTGATAGCTAGCAACAATAAA